GTACGAACCCTTTGTACGAACAAAAGTAAGAGAAATTCAGGATAAGAATACGAACATGTTCTTGCATAAGGCCCAATGTTTTTATTTACTACTACTGGGTGTTTTTAATATTTATTTATCAAAATGTTCAGATAAGTAAAAACAGCGTTCTATGACTTTTTATWCTTTTCAAAATATCACTGTGGTTGCTTCATTTCCTTCAATAGGAATAACTTCTACAARTAGCATTTAGCTACTGTTCGGCTAATTTTAGCATCCATTTCCCCCCCTACTTTTAGTTTTACCAATTTGTTTTGTTGATTCTAATTTTGGTGTCCGTTTTGCTACTTTTACTAGAGTTTTGCTATTATTAGCATAGCTGTTTTGCTAATAGACCATTTCATAGTTAGAAACGATCACAAACGTGCATAAACATAGRGAAGCCCAGCTTTTACGGGTCCCAGGTCAACTCGATAAAAGATATAAAAACACTACTGGAATTACGAAAACTCGAGCTCAAAAAGCATATTTAGATATTCATGACAAATCACGTCTACGATCTGAAAGGAAAGTGTAAAAAAAAGTTTAAATTAAAGTTTGCAATTACAATGGAGTTTTCATTGTAACCTCAACTTTTTCTCGATAGGCCCACTTTGCGCATTTGTGCTAATTTCTAACTATGAAATGGTCTATTGGCATATTTTCCAAGCTCTTACCAGATYCATCAGGAGAAGTTTTCAGTTTTGTAGGACTGGTGTTTGTCTCAGGTCCTGCTGGATGGAAGTGACTACTGACTGAGGACACCTGGCAACATGAAGAATAAATAACTAATTAATAGGGAAAACACAAGTTAACCAAACCTAATAACAGTAATAATACTAATAATAGTAATTATAATTTGAACTAATTGTGGTCTGTGCCTGTATCAGGTGCAGATTTAATTAAAACACTTTGGTTCATCATTTGGTCAAGTATAACCTGTAGAGTAGTCAGATGTTTTACTCAAAGAGTTGTGATACTTCATAGTAATATTACTCAAGTAAAAGAAAAATGTATGATACAGTAAAACTACTTCTAAAAGTATAAATTTTACAAGAACTTACTCAAGTAAATGTAACTGAGTAAAAATAATTAGGTACTATGACAATTTGACTCYTGTGGATTTGATTTAGAACTGGCTTTGTTCTTTGTTAAATATTTTACTGCCCCTGCTTAGAAACATCATCAAGAGGAGATGCATGTTGGACACTATYTGGCTACTGGTGCTAACCACTTCCATATTTTCTGGGGATGTCAGGTTATTTCTAACTACTGGGCACAGATTTGGTGCAAAAATTCCACTTAAATGTGAAATATTGTATTTATGTGATGTACCTACAACAAATTGGAATAACACTGATAAAAGACTATTGGGTATGTTACTTGTATCAAGCAAGAAAGCCATCACAAGAAAATGGCTGAAAGTCGAATCCCCAACCATCGAGGAGTGGATTAACATTGTACAGGAAATATACATCATGGAAAAGTTTTCATTTTCCCTCAAGATGCAAAAAAGACATGCTTTACAAGATCTGGACCAAATGGACTGAGTACGTAAAACCTTTGAGATCAGACTTTACATGAGCAATACAAATTTATATTCAAATAGTTTGGTTAGTGTTTACTGACATGATTCCCATGTGTGTATGTGTAGATTTGTTTTTGGTGACATTTGGGGGCAATTTTAAGACAAAATGCCGGACAACTGGTGCATTTGGGGACCTAAGTTGAGTCCCCGTTTGGTTTAAATGCCATTGGTGGGTTGGG